GCGGCCCGAAAACCCGAGCCCCTTCCTCAGCTCAACGCGATCCACACGTCAGCGTTTTGACTGTATGAGCCTGGAACGACATACACGCTCTCACCAGGACGCTTCGCAACTGCTTGAGAGTGGAGACAACGGCAACTCAAGTGAAGGGGCCCAAGGACACACAAATAAATACACACAAATAACAGGATTCCCAACATTTTCCCAGCTGTTCCCATATTTTCCTGGGAGTCGACGATTCATTGTGTCTGTGTGTTTTTCCCCCTCCTGATCAAGATCGTTGCCAAGACCCCCCCCCGTAGGCGCCCAAACGCACCCGTTGCCCGAACTGCGCCCCGCCGTGGAGACGAGGCCCACATCCCTCCCCTGGCACTCTCCAGGGGGCCCACAGGGCAGTTCTTAATACATACGATTTTTTTCACCTAGGATTGTTAATGCACGATTCATTCATAAATACACTTATGCATGAACTCATCGTTGCTTTTAGCACCAAAACTCTGCATGTTTTAATACATGATCCGCACGCGTAGCATGTATTTAAGACGGCACTGTACAGTGGAGGCCCGCCCACAAGAAACCTCCCACGAGAGACCCAACCCCGAGACCCCAGGGCGTCCCTCGACCTTCGGCGCGGGAGCGCCACGCCTTCCGTCGCAGGGCCACCGAAACCCAAGAAACCCAGGGGCACCCTGGAGGCAAGCAGGGCGTCTCTTGGCATGGCCACCCCCCTGCATGGGCACGTTAGGATGCTCCGCCACTGCTTATCCCAGCTGAAGGGGCCCCAGGACACAAATAAATACACACAAATAAACAGATTCCCCGTATTTTCCAACATTTTCTAGTTTTTTGTCTTCCCCCCCACTTCCCATATTTTCCTATATTTTCTCTGGAATCCACGATGAATTTTGTCTGTGTGATTATTTTCCTCCTGACCAGCCCTCCGGCCCCGCGAGCCTGGCACAGGAAGCTCAGGGGCGACAGCATGTAGTCCTGCTCCTGCCGCCCGCAGCCGGCTAATGCGTGTGGGCGCCCGGCCCTGCCAACTCACGCCCAACTCGCCTGCCTCCGCCTCCGCCTCCTCCTCCTCTTCCTCCTCCTTTTCGTCCTTGTTTCTGACCCTCCCCACGCTTCGTCAACTCCCCCGATCCGCCTCCCCTCCTCTTTTCCTCCTCCTCCTCCTCCTCCTCCTCCTCCTCCTCCTCCTCCTCCTCCTACTCGTCCTCCTCCCTGCTTCTGACCCTCCTCCTTGCCCCCCCTCGTGCCCATCGCTCGACCTGCTCCTCCCGCATCCGCCTGCTGCTCGCTTCCTTCTCCCCCGTTGTCAGTGCACGTGCGAGGAAGGGCACGTGCGAGGAAGGCAAACACCGCGCAAGGACGGACATGAGACTTGGCGCGGCCAGGCGACCGCCATGCTCCACATCCTCCTTCAGAGGCTTCAGAGACAGAACGGTGACCCACGTGCGCGAGAGAGAAGCTGGGAAGCACCCCGAGCCAGGACCCAGGACCACCTCGAGCCCTTCCCCTGGGGCGGTGCTTGTCACTGGGGAGCGATCGACGAGGGGGGGGGGGGGCGAATCAAAACGTGCGCCTGTAGTGCCCCTGTCTCGGGAGCCCCCAAGAGGGGGGTGTCCAAGACGGGGGGTGCAAATCATGACCGGCGGCATGTGCGCGGCCCAGCGGGGGGGGCCAGGGACGTCATGAAATGAGAAGAGGCGCCATGAGATCTGGGAAAAAAGGTACCATGGCCCCCGCCATGATATCCCCCCCCCCCTAGTCATCCCCCTAAAACAGGGCTAGGATCGGGATAAATCGCTCTAGAGCGTTCCGGAGCGCTCTCAGAGCGTTCCGGAACGCTCTGGAGCGGCCGCGGCGCCCAATACATCCTCCAAACCCGCCGATTCTCATAGATTTCGAGTTATCCCGATCCGTTTTTGTCCCGATCTTCGCGTCGTTTTATAGGTACCATGGCCCCCGCAGTGATATCCTCCCCCCCCTGGTCATCCCCCCCCTCTTTTCCGCCCCCGACCTTCGCGCCGCTCCAATGGGCGTGGCTTAATGGGGGGGGGGTCACAAATGGGGGGGGGGTCAGAAAAGGTCCCCTTTCGTGCCCCTTTCAGGCCCCTCCAGAGCCCCAGGGGGCTCGTTCAGGTACCGTTTGGGTACCTTTTCGGACCACGCTCTCGCCACCCCCCCATTTATGACCCCCCCATTACTCGGGGATGGACAGACCCCCATTTAGTAAAACGCGGTTTAATGAAAACGACCTGAGGCCCAAACCTGGCGGGCGCAAGCCTGGAAAATAACAACCACGGCGCCCTCTCGAGAGCCGAAAATGGACAATTCACTAATCGACGTGTCACTGTTGGGGGTTCTGTCCACCCCCGAATTACGCGGCGCCCAAGGTACGCTAGACGTCTGACCTCCAGGCCCGGCTCCGGCGCCCCGTCTCTCGACGGCCCCGGGGGGCCGGGCGGAGGCACCCCCAGAGAGCGACGGGACCACGAGAAGCCTCCCGCCGCGACGCGGGGCGGGGCGGGCTGGGAGCGCGTCGGAAGGGGCGGGCTGGGCGCGCAGGGCAGGTTTTCATGCATGGGATTTTTGAACATATAGGATCTTGAATGCATGATCAATGCATGAAGAGATTGATGCATAAACTCCTCCTTGTTTTTGATACTACATCCCTGCATGCTCAATACATGATCCGCACGCGGAGCATGTATTAAAACCGGCACTGTACGGAGGCAACTCCTCGGAGGTCTTCGCAATACCGTCGGACCCAAGACAGAATAACACCCTTCAAGAACAGGAGACCCTCCGCCGGCCAGAAAACACAGAACACCCAAGGATACTCTCCCCAGGATGCAAATAAGAACGTGCAACAGGCACGAAGAACACTCGGGCACCCTCCCCGAACCGACCTCGACCTTATACCTCGGTCCGACTGTGCTGCTGATGTGAGGAAGGACTTCCTCCCTGCATCGCCCCACCCGCCGCCCTCCTCCCTGGACTCCCGCGTTGCTTCTCTGGGGACCGCCGGGGGTCGCAGAATTCCCAGGGGCCGAGGGTCGCCTAGCACAAGAATGGTCGCCATTCTCTCGGGCGCCTGTCTGGCAGACGGCCTGGCCGCCAGCGCGGCGACGCAAGTGGAGGTGGCCTTCAGGCTCGGCCGTCTTCGTGCTCGGCTTGCGACGCTGGCGCTACCTGCGTGGGAATGCAGAACCGCTCTCAAAATCCCAACCAGGGGGGGCAGAACAACTTCCCGCGAACCGCTGATTTCAGTCAGCGACAAGAGCCCACAGTGACCACTCTTCCCCAAACGCCCTTCTTGAGGCAATGACAAAAGCCCCAACATAACCCATGTGCCAAAACACCTATGTACGGACAAAGTCCAAACGATTTTCCTCAACGGCCCCTGGGTGGGAACTGGGGGGGGGCTCTACTCCCGGGCACTTGTGGCACCCACGAATGCGATTAAAAAAGGGGGCCACAGCCAGGGTGCCCAAGTGGCCCTTGTCCATGGCCGCCCCCAAGTTCTGCACGCCACGGCACCCGTCCTTCTCGTGAGCGTTTGCTTGTTCGCCGTTTCGACATTGGGTGGAAGGGGGGGAGGGGGGGGGGTCTGGCTCCAGACCTCTGCTTCGCGCGACTGTTTGCAACAGTGCGCCCATTATGGAGGAGACTGCACCTGCTCGAAACAGGCGCCAAACACAGCAAAGATCTACTCCATGGGAGGGGAGGGAGGGGGGGGTGCGAGGGCCCGCGCCGATCGGCAAAGCAAGGAATCAGAAAACGACCACCTGTGCGACGGCGTGATTGCGATGCTCCTTGGACAGTTTGGGCGTCTTTCCAACAAGAGCTCCAAATCGACCGCGCGAACCTGGAGCGCGGCGCTCTTTCGGGGAGCCGTGTCGAAAAGGTACTCTGCAGTGCAGTCTTCACGTGGCCGCGCAATTGCTGAAAACTCGATTAAACAAGGAACTCCCGCGACCAAGCCTGAAGGCCACCTCCACTTGATTGGGGGCGGCCAAGATCGGGGCGTCCAAAGGGGGGGGGGGCGCAAATCATGGCTGGCGGCACGTGCGCGGCCCAGGTGGGGGAGGGGGGGCAGGGACGTAATGAAATAAGACGAGGCGCCATGAAATCAGAGGAAGTATCATGGCCCTTGCAATGATTTCCACCCCCCCTTAGTCATCTCCCCGCTTGCCCGTCCCCGACTTTTACTAGCCGCGCTGGCGGCAAAGCCGTCTGCCGTGCAAGCGCCCGAGAGGGCTGACGACCACTTCTGCGGAATGCGACTTCTGTGCCTTTGGAAATTCTGTAGACACACGGCCTCGGGAGACCCCCACAGCCTCCAGAGAAACAGCGCGGGAGACGACAAGGGGCTGCGGTGATGGGGATGCATGGAGGGACGGTGACAACCACCCCGATTATGATCAGAAGGCGGAGCGGGGCGACCGCGAGGGAAGAACGGGGAGTACTGGCGCGAACAGGAGCAGGGGAAAGGGAAGGAATACAGTCGGGGTGGATCGGAGAGGACACGCGACAGGACACACAACTTTTCCGATGGCCACATTGTCAGTGGAACGTGGACGGCATGGGCCGCGAAACCCAAGACACAAAGGTACCCTTGTTTGAGCAGGGCCGACTACTAATCAAACGCGACTGTAAAAGAAAGAGGGACGAAGGGGGAAAATGCTGGGTGTGATGGAAAGCGCACGAAAAGGAGCAGGTGAGGAGGAGGGCATTCTTGAACATGGCACAACGGACGCGGGGACTTCATTTGCGTGGGGGCGCTGCGAAATGTCGAGCTGAACGCGCGGCGAACACATCCACAATCAGCGAATCGAGCCTGAAACCCGCCACAGTGGACCAACCAACCAGGCTCATATCGTTGACCTGTTGGCCATCGGTTCCAGTATACGTCGGTGATTATGTTCCTCAAATTATGTTTTCCCAACGAAGGGCAAAGCCGATAAAAAAAGGGGGCGCTGAGCTGGATTTGCCCAAATTGCGCCAACGATTACGCCGCGAACTGCGCCCAGGATCCTACCAGCTTGCGACCGAAATCCACAACAAGAACAAACATCTTAATACTGTTCGCATTTATCTGCTCGAATGTCCGTTAACGCATATTTCCCAAAAGACAACGATACCCGCCCCCTTCGTCTTCGATCGTACCCCCTGTGGGGGGTATACCTTTCTTCCCAGCAGGCCGGGCCCCAGCAAGCGGCGAGGCGGCAGCGGACCGTCGGCCTGGCCAGCGGCAGCGCTGATCGGCGGCAACCCGGCCCCAAGAGGGACGGACAAGGGACCGCACACGACGACGACGGCGACGACGACGACGAGCGAACGCGAGAGCGACAGAGAGAACGACAGCAGGGCCACGAAGGGCACGAAGTAGGCCACGAAGGGCGACAGCGGGGACACGAACGGACTGCGTATGGGGCTACGAAGAGCAGGAACAAGCGGAGGGGCCACGAAAGGCAGAAAATGCGGGGCCACACAAGGCAACGACGGGGCCACCGAGGGTAGCAACTGGGCCACGTGCGTCAGCGAGGGGGCCTCGAATGGCGACAGCGGGGCCACGAAGGGCATGCACATGGGGCCACGACGGGCGCGAACGACCGGGGGTCACGAAGGGCATTCGTATATTGGGCCGCGGAGGGCAAGGACGGGGCCACCACTGACGGCAGCGAGGGGGCCACGAAGGGCAGCGAGGGAGCCACGAAGGGCGACAGCGGGGCAGAAATCCGAGGCCAAAGAGGGCAGCGACGGGGCCGCTGAAGGCAGCAACGGGGCCACGAAGGGCAGCGAGGGGGCCACAAAGGGCGACAGCGATGCCACGAACGGCATGCATATGGGGCCACGACGGGCGCGAACGAGCGGGGGCCACGAACGGCATACATATATGGGGCCACGAAGTGCAACGAGGGGGCCACGAAGGGCAGCGATGGGGCCACGAGGGGCTGCAACGGGGCCACGAAAGGCAGCGAGGG